TTGGCGAATAATTTAAGATAAAAAAATATGAGGCATTCCATTTAAAAAAAATGAGATATAGCTATTTCAAGTTTCTGGTATTGAGTACAATATTACGAACACCCTGTAGAAGGTTACCAGATTTTTATAGGGGCATGAAGTTACTGTAACTATGCATTAATAATCTACAAAAGATTTGCTTTGTAGGGTCTTAAATAAATTGGGTATGCTTTCTTTTATAGACACGTGCAGACGGAGATTTTTTCACAAAATGTTGAATATTTCAAAAACGGTAAAATTTTGGTATAGGTAATGCTTAACAAAAAGTATGTCGAATTTTAAGGGTAATTCAAAAATGTAATAAAATATGGGGTGTTCCATTTAAATTTACGAAGTTGTACCTTGTACTTTGTTTTTGCAACACCCTGTATAAACAAAAATATTTTTAGGTTATGCACCTTCGAGCACCAAACAACTTTATATATAAACATTTTCTTCTAGCGACACCCTGTAAGGAGATATCGTCCGATATCGCACTAATTGGACACCCGGTATATGGAGCAGTAAGCTATTTGTGTTCTTTTCATCCATGATTCCTCTAATTAGAAGAAATTCTATTTCAAATTTCATTTCCTCACTTCTTCAATCACAGTTTTGATGATATTCCTGGATTCATAAAGCAACAATACACAACACTAAACATATTTTATTATTTCATTTTACTTACCTTTATTATCAACAAATAATTTTCCAACATAAACTCTAAACATCAAACACAAACCCACAACAAAAACTCTCGTCCCCTTAGTAGATTGTAAACGTGTGGCGAACATCATGCTGGCCAATTTAATTCCCTTCTCGTTTCCGCCACCAACAACGACCCTATAGGATGGCGAAAACCGACTACCTCCAGAGAGGGAACCCCCTCCCCTTGAGTGGGATAAATTGCGAGAGGAAAGCGAGGTTTTAAGGGCTGCGGTGGTTTTAGGCGAGCTTCAGGTCGGAACGTACTACAAGAAAATCGAATTAGAGGCCGCCAGGTACATTGAAATTCGTGTCGTCGCGACCACCCCCTCCCGGGGGTTCCCAACTCCACGTTACACGGACCATACGAGCTAATTTCGACACTGACACCGCAACCTTAAAACAAACCCTTTTAAAGTAATGAAGCGAAACAGATAAAATAAGATAAGACATCGTTTCTTTTTGAGTTAACATTTTTTTTTCTTGGAATGGGGCGAGTTTTGGGGTATAAGTAGCATCCCCTTCTCTCGAGTTCTTTGAAGTCGTGAACCGATGCTACCCCCTTCGATGATGTCGGGAGCCTTCCGTTTTTCGAGGAGAAAAGGTCGTCTTTCTCTTTTCGTGTTCGCTATCGGCGAAGATTTTTTTTTTTTCGTTCTCATCACAAAGGGTAAAAGAAGCCTCTCTTATTCTAGTCTCATTTTGAGCTTTTTTTCTTTTTTACTCTGGTTCCTTTCTGTTTTGTCCCTTTTGACTCCGTAGTTTATCGACGAAAAGTTGTTTTCGCGTATTATTTTAGAACGAAGAAAATAATTACGATGATTAATTTTTCTACATCACACTAGAATATAGAATATAGTTAGAATGGAGAAAGGTTGAGAAGAGTTTAAAGTTACAACAAGAGGGGCTATTATTTTAAAAAAGTTTTCCGCGGAACGCGTTAAAGAACACGAACATGGATGGGGACGACATAGAAGGAGACATAGAGGGGCGAGTAATTCGGGGTGAAATTGCTTGGGAAGAACTTCGGACTCGACCCTAAATTACTTACGAAAATAAAAAGGGGATAAAAAAATTGTGTGAGGGGGCCGAGATGGAAACGGGGCGAAAAATTCGGTACCATTTCCGCTTTTGTCCGCGACGTTACATATTGTCCTTTCTGGAAAAGTTTTCTAATTCCTGGCCAATTTAAGTTTTTGGTTCGCACAGAATTTATCAATTTTCTTTCTCCCCGAGAACTCAATTTTAGTTTTGTTGAAACATTTAAAAAAGAAATCATTTTAAAGTTATTTACCTTTTAACCTCCAAATCTGTCAAACGTCAATGTATTTTGAATGAAATTAGCTAACGACTAATTTCACGTTGATGCCGATAACGTTGAATTTCGAAGTTTTTGGACCAAAAATCACCACGCCACATTTAAAACCATCACACGTCGCTTCGTTTAACTTATAAGAATGTATTAAAACAGGTTTTTGCGGGATCTAACACTTTTTTCCTTCGAAAAATATAAATTTAAAAAGGAGCAACACAGAACGTCATTAATGACATTTCGCGATTTTTAACCCCAAACGATTATTAAGAGATGGCGCTACTAACAGATCTAAATTAATAATTTTAATTTAATAAAATCATTTTTGATTTATAACAATTAAAGAAAAATATATTGTTATTAAATTCGTTCAAATCTCGACTTAATTTAATAATTAACTTTGTATTTTAGATTAAATTCGAATAAAATTAAATTATTTACCTTTTAACCTTCAAATCTGTCAAACGTCAATGTATTTTAAATGAAAGTTTTTTGGCCCAAAAATCACCACTCCACATTTAAAACCATCACATGTCGCTTCGTTTAACTTGTAAGAATCTGTTAAAACAGGTTTTCGCGAGTTCTCAAACTTTTTTTCTTAGAAAAAGATAAATTTAAAGAAAAAAAACAGGAAACGTCATTAAATGACGTTACGTGATAATTAACACCAAACGATTATTAAGAGATGGCGCCACTTCTAATTGATCTAAATTAATTTTAATTAAATAAAATCATTTTGGATTTACAACAATTAAAGAAAAGTACATTTTTATTAAATTCGTTCAAATCTCGACTTGATTTAATAATTAACTTTGCATTTTAGATTGAAACTAAATAAAATTAAATTATTTACCTTTTAACCTTCAAATCTGTCAAACGTCAATGTGTTTTGATGAAAGTTTTTTGGACCAAAAATCACCACGTCACATTTAAAACCATCACATGTCGCTTCGTTTAACTTGTAAGAATCTATTAAAACAGGTTTAGCGAGGTCTAAAACTTTTTTTCTTAGAAAAAGATAAATTTAAAAAGGAGAAACAGGAAACGTCATTAAATGACATTACGTGATAATTAACACCAAACGATTATTAAGAGATGGCGCCACTTCTAATTGATCTAAATTAATTTTAATTAAATAAAATCATTTTTGATTTATAACAATTAAAGATAAATACATTTTTATTAAATTCGTTCAAATCTCGACTTAATTTACTAATTAACTTTGCGTTTTAGATTGAATTAAATTATTTACCTTTAAACCCCCAAAAACTTCACTGATAAATTCAAGGAGTAAAAATCACTTTCTAAAATTCAAAATCGCTTTAAACAGATAGCTTGATTATTGATAAACGCTTTTTTTTTGATAAATTTTGAAACAAACCCAAAAATGGTAATTGTTAAATGTCAATCTTACGACTAATAAGAATTATCACCGCTAGATGGAGGGAGTAATAAAGATTCTTAATTTAAAAAAATTGTAATTTAAAATTTTTAACTAAATAATGAGACGAAAAATTAAAATTTAATCTTGATTTAAAACGTACTTACGTGAATTTTTGATTTAATATAACATAACATGTTTAAATAAGTTCAATTGACGCGATAAAAAGTTAGGTTATGTTGTAAAAAACTTCACCGATTAATTTAAGGAGTAAAAATCACTTTGTAAAACTTAAAATCACTTTAAATAGGTAGCTTGAGTACTAATAAACGCATTTTGATGTGATTTTTTGGTCTAAACACTTTTTTTTTGATAATATTTGATAAATTTCGAAACGAACCCAACTGTCAAATATCAATCTTACGACTACTAAAAACTGTCACCGCTAAAAATGAAATGAGCTAACAACTAATTTCACGATGATGCCACTTTACGTTGAATTTCGTAGTTTTTTGGACCAAAAATCAACAGGTTTTAGCGAGTTATAAAACTTTTTTCCTTCGAAAAGTATAAATTTAAAGTGGAGATACACAAAACGTCATTAATGACATTTCGAGATTATTAACACCAAATGATTGTTAAGAGATGGCGCCACTTCTAATTGATCTAAATTAATATTTTTATTTAAATAAAATCATTTTGGATCTATAACAATTAAAGAAAAATGCATTTTTATTAAATTCGTTCAAATATCGACTTGATTTAATAATTAACTTTGCATTTTAGATTGAACCCAAATAAAATTAAATTATTTACCTTTTAACCTCCAAATCTGTCAAACGTCAATTTTCATCAAGTTTTTTGGACCAAAAATCACCACACCACCTTTAAAACCATCACATGTCGCTTCGTTTAACTTATAAGAATCTATTACAACACGTTCTAGAGGGATCTAACATATTTTTCCTTCGAAAAATATAAATTTAAAGCTGAGAAATACAAAACGTCATTAATGACATTTCGCAATTGTTAATACTAAACAATTAAGAGATGGCGCTACTTATAATAGATCTAAATTTAGAGATTTTTTAATTAAATAGATGCTCAAAGTGCATAAAAATGAAATTGATGCCATTTAATATCGAATGTTACTTCGTTTAACTTTTAAGAATATATTATAAGAAGTTTCCGGAAAATTTGAAGCTTTTTTCATAAAAAGATATAAATTTAAAAAATAGAATCCTAGAATGTCATTAAATGACATTTCGTTAATTGTAAATAATAATCAAGAGATGGCGCTATTTCTAATCAAAATTAATAAATTAAATAAATAAAATCTTGTTTATAACAATTAAAGAGTACTAAATCGTTCAAAATAATTCTTTTTAAATCAATTTTTTCTTACATCAACTTTCGGAATGGTTCAACTTCTTGGAACTTTAGGCATTAAAACGTTAACTCGATAAATCATTCGGTTTTCGAATATAGATTTCATATTAGAAGCGACGTGAGGCAATTAGCGTCAGTTTCCAAAGTGGGGGGTTTTTGGCGGTATCAGGGGGCGGTTTTGGAACATTAAATATTCCAGTGGGACGACGACAACGACCACGGAAATTTCGGGATTAATTGCCCCCGATTTCAAGCGAAATTTAATCTCTCTCAAAATTCAATCAAACACTCCAAAACCATAAATCCAAAACAAAAACGTAAAATCTTCATCATCTCCTTGTATTATTTATTTATTTCTTTTTGTTGTTAGTTAAAATATAATCCGTTTTTGATTGTGATTGAAACGTTTCTCTTTGTGTTTCCATCTCGCTCGCTATCTCCTAGTTCTCGGTGACGTCTTCTGCGTTTCTTAATGGGAAAAGTTTCTCGTGGTCGTCATCGTCGTCGTTGTAGTTTCCGGAGTTTCTAAATGCGAATTTGAGTGGTTCTTAGGCCTTAACGAGAATCCGCAAATCTCCGCTTAAAACTATTTTAAATCTGGAACGAAGATTTCGAGGATAAAAAAATCGATTTTGGTTCGAATCGTTTTTTTTCCCCCCTTGGAACGTTTTATTAATGGTCAGAGATATTTCACGAAAATCCCCGCGATGTCGAACGTGTGTGTGCTGGACGTAAAAGGACCGGGTTATTTATGGTGTGTATTAATGGAAGAACTAAAACTAGAAAAAAAAGTTATTTTAAAAAAAAATTAGGTTATGTTTATGTCAAATCTGTCAAATATCGATGTGATACTCGTGATTATTAAGAGATGGCGCTGATTAATTAATTAAAAACTTTTTTTAATTAAACTCAATTAATTGATTTAATAATTCGATTAAATCCAATTCAATTTTGGATTCAACGTCGGGATTTACACGCTTAACTCAACTTAAACCGAACTTTAGCAAATCCCAATAACATACCCCCACACTCTAACTATATCTATATATCTTACTCCTGGCTTATGCTTACTATTAGATAGAACCTATGTATACCCAACTACCTCCAACCGGGTTCAAGTCCTAAGTACATACATAACCTATCTAGACCGAGCCAGACATGGCACTTCGATCCACGTCCGTGTTTATTCTAATCAACAAGCGTTAAATTTACCTGAAGCTTAAAGTCCATCAATGTGTAACGTTCTTTATATTACATAATTCTTTAATTATTATTATTAGATATTAAAAATCTTCAATCTGACGTTAAAAAAATAATTCGTTCGTGTAAATAGAGATGGCGCTACTTAATAATTCCAAATTAATTTAAATAACTAACTTTTAAATCATCTAAATCGCTTTAAATCTTTACGAATCCGTTTTCTAAATCGCCCCAAATAAAGCCGAGGTCGTTGTGAATCTAAAATTCGCCGTTTTAACATTGAGTAAAGAGCTCGGAGGCTCCGCCCTCAGGTTCCAAAAAGCTCTTAAAAGCTTTCCACGTAAAATGACGGTGAAGGGGATCGTTTAAACGCTATGCATAATGTATATTTATACATTATACAACCACCCCGGCGGTTTAATGTTGTATGTATGTATGGTAATTTTAAGTTTTAAGCGAAGATGAACACCGGGATGATGGTGAATTTTAAAAAAAACGACCACGAGAAAGTAATTTATTAGATTAAAGTTTAATTTTGAATTGGAAATGAGCCCCATCTTTTAAGAATTAGTAATAAATTATTTACCTTTTAACCTCCATATCTGTCAAACGTCAATGTATTTTAAATGAGTTTTTTGAACTAAAAATCACCACGCCACATTTAAAACCATCACATATCGCTTCGTTTAACTTATAAGAATGTATTAAAACTAGTTTTCGCGAGTTTTAAAACTTTTTTTCTTAGAAAAAAATATTTTAAGAGGAGAAACACAGAACGTCATTAATGACATTTCGCGATTTTTAACACCAAACGATTAATAAGAGATGGCGCCACGTCAAATCGATCTAATTTAATAATTTTAATCAAATAAAATCATTTTGAATTTATAACAATTAAAGAAAAATGCATTTTTATTAAATTCGTTCAAATCTCGACTTGATTTAATAATTAACTTTGCATTTTAGATTGAAACTCGAATAAAAATAAATTATTTACCTTTTAACCTCGAAATCTGTCAAACGTCAATGAGTTTTGAATGAAAGTTTTTTGAACAAAAATCACCACTCCACATTTAAAACCATCACATGTCGCTTTGTTTAACTTATAAGAATCTATTAAAACAGGTTTTCGCGAGTTCTAAAACTTTTTTTCTTAGAAAAATATGAATTTAAAGTGAAGAAACACAGAACGTCATTGAATGACATTTCGCTATTATTAACACCAAACGATTATTAAGAGATGGCGCCACTTCTAATTGATCTAAATTAATTTTAATTAAATAAAATCATTTTGTATTTATAACAATTAAAGAAAAATGCATTTTTATTAAATTCGTTCAAATCTCGACTTGATTTAATAATTAACTTTGCATTTTAGATTGAAACTAAATAAAATTAATTTACCTTTTAACCTCCAAATCTGTCAAACGTCAATGCGTTTTGAATGAAAGTTTTTTGAACAAAAATCACCACTCCACATTTAAAACCATCACATGTCGCTTTGTTTAATTTATAAGAATCTATTAAAACCGGTTTTCGCGAGTTCTAAAACTTTTTTTCTTAGAAAAAGATAAATTTAAAGAGAAGCAGGAAACATCATTAAATGACATGACGTGATAATTAACACGAAACGATTATTAAGAGATGGCGCCACTTCTAATCAATCTAAATTATTTTTAATTAAATAAAATCATTTTTGATTTATAATAATTAAAGAAAAATGCATTTTTATTAAATTCGTTCAAATCTCGACTTGATTTAATAAATAACTTAGCATTTTAGATTGAAACTAAATAAAATTAAATTATTTACCTTTCAACCTCCAAATCTGTCAAACGTCAATGTGTTTTAAATAAAAGTTTTTTGAACAAAAATCACCACTCCACATCTAAAACCATCACATGTCGCTTTGTTTAACTTATAAGAATGTATTAAAACAGGTTTTCGCAAGTTCTAAAACTGATTTTCTCAGAAAAAGATAAATTAAAAGATGAGAAACAGGGAACGTCATTACCCGATAATTAGCACCAAATGATTATTAACAGATGGCGCCACTTCTAATTGATTTAAATTAATTTTAATTAAATAAAATCATTTTGGATTTATAACAATTAAAGAAAAATGCATTTTTATTAAATTCGTTCAAATCTCAACTTGATTTAATAATTAACTTAGCATTTTAGATTGAAACTAAATAAAATTAAATTATTTACCTTTTAACCTCCAAATCTGTCAAACGTCAATGTGTTTTAAATAAATGTTTTTTGAACAAAAATCACCACTCCACATTTAAAACCATCACACGTCGCTTCGTTTAACTTACAACAATCTATTAAAACACGTTTTTGCAAATTGACCATGAGAAAGAATTTATTAGTAGAAAGTTTAATTTTAGATTGGAAATAAGCGCCATCTTTTGAGTGTTAATATTAACTAAAAATAAAATAAAATTTATAAATTTTTCAAGAAAAATATTAAAATCCACGTAAATGTGGTTGTAATCGCTTTTTGAATATGTTTGTGTTTTTTTAATAAAATAGATATGTTTATGTCTAAATTTGTTAATACCAGCTTTGACAGCACTCAAAATCAACGTGAAGTTTGCTACGTTCATGAATTTTGAAGTTAAGATAAAAAACGGATTTTAAATCACCTAATACAATTTTTAATTGTTTATATACTTCTTTTTAAACACAAAGAAATAAAATAATCAAAATCATACAAGCAACGTTAAAAATCATGAAAATTCCCCCGAAAATTTGGTTAAAATTTGAAATGTTATTGATTTTCGTTTGGATAGTTATAAATTCATAAACCTAGTGCTCGGATAACTCCCCGAAAAGGTTTAATAATTCATTTCATAGAGTGCACTTTAAAATTTTCCTCAAATCGAATTGAGTTTTCAGTTCAATTGTGTTAATACGATGTGAAACTAAATATTCAATAAATTAATAACAAGCTCAAATCGTTGACAATAAAAAAAAGCTGCATTTTTAATACTCTTAAAACTGGAACGACAAAAAAAATAGAAACCCAGTGAGTTTATTTACCCTTTATTTAGTTTATGTAATTTTTTTTAAACTTCGGTGCCAGAACTGGGGAATTATAAAACATAAAACAGAACGCTGAACAACTCGGTTTGGGTTTTATATTAAATTCGTTTTTGTTGTTGTTTTTTTAGGAGAAATATGCGAGTTTGGTTGAATAAATACGACTGGTGGTTTTAATTAGTAATCCTACAACTACAACTTTATCAAAAAATTCGTTGTGAAGTTAGAAAACAATTAACTTAAACTGCCATTACCAACTTAAATCGAAAAAGAAAAAGATTCTAACATCGTTACGATTCTCGTCACATAATCAATTCCCGAAGCAGTTACAATTAAATTCCTGACGAAGCTCCATCAATTTCACCGCTTCATACCGTCAAACATTCCCCCTCGCCCCAACCCAACCTCTTTCGCCTTTCAGAATGTGGAATATGGCCCGATTCGCTTCTTGGTCGGGGTCCACTTCGACAGATTTATTATCGACGGCTTGTTAAACTTCTCGATTCGATTACCGGCCCAATAACACTCTAAACTTGGGGGAGGGTTGCAAAACTTGGAACCCCGTTGCAACTGGTCCTCTCTATATATATACGAGGAGGAGTAACTAGAGAAGAGAACAATCGCTGGAACGCGTTTGCTTCGAAGACGGTTTGAGAACGGGTGGTGGTTATGGAGGGTTAATTGTCTTCGAGAAATTGCCTTTCGAATAAGTTGGAAGTGGCGTTATAATGATATTAAAGTTAAATGGGTGATTCTCGATTATATGAAACGATTTAATTTCCTTAAATATTTATGAATTCTAATCGGTTTTAATAACGCCACTTTTTTATGGGGTGCCGAATTTATTGAGCTGTATAACTCGAAAGTCGGGGTTGACAGTTCTCCATGTGGGCAACTTTCCATACATTTGAATTTATAACATGCAAAATTGAACAAGAAACGCCGAAAATAAAGCAGTCTCTGTGTTTATTATGAACGAAATTTACAACACCCATTTATTAGCTATAAATTTAACCTAACTTACTCCATCTTGGAGCAAAGAGTAAGGTTATAATAAATTTTAGGTTGGTATCACTCGTAATAAAAGCTTTGACAGCAATCAAAATCAACGTGAAGTTCGTTACATTCATTAATTTTGAGATTAAGAAAGTAAAAATCGATTTTGTAAAGGAAATTAAACTTTGCATTTTAAATTGAACCCAAATAAAATTAAATTATTTACCTTTAACCTCGAAATCCATTAAACGTCAATGTGTTTTGAATGAAATTAGCTAACTAATTTCACGATGATGCCACTTAACGTTGAATTTCGACCAAAAATCACCACGCCACATTTAAAACCATCACATGTCGCTTCGTTTAACTTATAGGAAGCTATTAAAACAGGTTTTAGCGGGCTCTAACACTTTTTTTCTTCGAAAAATGAATTTAAAGAGGAGAAACACAGAACGTCATTGAATGACATTTCGCGATTATTAACTACAAATGATTATTAAGAGATGGCGCCACTTCTGATTGATCTAAATTAATATTATTGAAATAAAATCATTTTTGATTTATAACAATTAATGAAAAATATATTGTTATTAAATTCGTTCAAAACTCGACTTGACTTAATACTTAACTTAGCATTTTAGATTGAAACTAAATAAAATTAAATTATTTACCTTTTAACCTCCAAATGTGAAACGTCAATGGGTTTTGATGAGTTTTTTGGACCAAAAATCACTACGTCACATTTAAAACCATCACATGTCACTTCGTTTAACTTATAAGAATGTATTAAAACAGGTTTTTGCGGGTTCTAACACTTTTTTCCTTCGAAAAATATGAATTTAAACAGGAGAAACACAGAACGTCATTAATGACATTTCGCGAATATTAACTATGATTATTAAGAGATGGCGCCACTTCTAATTGATCTAAATTAATAATTTTAATTAAATAAAATCATTTTGGATTTATAACAATTAATGAAAAATATATTGTTATTAAATTCGTTCAAATCTCGACTTAATTTAATAATTAACTTTGCATTTTAGATTAAACTCGAATAAAATTAAATTATTTACCTTTTAACCTCCAAATCTGTCAAACGTCAATGTATTTTGATGNATTAAGAAAGTAAAAATCGATTTTGTAAAGGAAATTAAACTTTGCATTTTAGATTAAACCCAAATAAATTCAATTATTTACCTTTTAATCTCGAAATCCATTAAATGTCAATGTGTTTTGAATGAAATTAGCTAACGACTAATTTCACGATGATGCCACTTAACGTTGAATTTCGACCAAAAATCACCACGCCACATTTAAAACCATCACATGTCGCTTCGTTTAACTTGTAGGAAGCTATTAAAACAGGTTTTTGTGAGTTCTAACACTTTTTTCCTTCGAAAAATATGAATTTAAACAGGAGAAACACAGAATGTCATTCAATGACATTTCGCGATTATTAACTACAAATGATTATTAAGAGATGGCGCCACTTCTAATTGATCTAAATTATTATTGAAATAAAATAATTTTTGATTTATAACAATTAATGAAAAATATATTGTTATTAAATTCGTTCAAAACTCGACTTGACTTAATATTTAACTTAACATTTTAGATTGAAACTAAATAAAATTAAATTTACCTTTTAACCTCCAAATCTATCAAACGTCAATGTGTTTTGATGAAAGTTTTTTGGACCAAAAATC